TTCTCTTTTGGCACTGGCTTGATCAGACTGTCGATGTTAAGTGTATGACATATTACATTCGGACTAATCTAGACCATGTCAGTATGAGTCCATGCAAAAACATCAATATTCTATTTGAGGAAACTCGTTAGGTTGGCAATGAGCTTGGGGATAAGATTGCTTCTGATCCTCAACACCCGAGTTGATTCATTCTGGTCGATCGATACCTCGGATAGAGTCTCAACAGGTTCACTATAGGAATACTCTTCCTGAACATAAGGATCTATGTTGTCTTCCACTAGACTCGGCTATAGTTCAATCCTACTGATCGTCATACCTTGTTCGGGAATGCCCACTGGCCTCCCTTTCCCTTTGCATGCCATCTACACTGCTCTTACATAGCAGTCACGGGATTCACTCTAAGATCCTTTAACTTTCCCACATCTCGTCGGTATGGAAAATTTCATATTCAGATGATAGATGGAGGTGATGGCTTTGAAATTCCATAGTAGAGGTTGTCCCAAAATGCCGTTAAAAGCGGACGGACAGTTTACTACTAAAAACCCTGTCATTTTGGTTACCTCGTGGGTATCATCCAAAGTGATAGGAAGTACAATCGTTCCCTTGGGAATCAGATGATCCCTAATAAAACCATATAGAAGGATAAAGACATGCTTTAGATCTGCCTCGTCTAGTTGCATTTCCTCAAAAGCTCACTGAAATAGGATATTCACAGCGCTACCATTGTCCACTAGCATCCCGTGGACTTCGCATCGACGTATTTCAGGCATGATAACGAATGCATCCTCATGGGGGTGATGCAATCGCACTGTGTCTTTCTCTGAGAAGGTAATCTCTTCTTCTCTGCACACTTGAGCAGGTCGCGATGCCGTGCTCATCACACTTATAGGGCCATGACGAGCTTCCCGAGCATACCTTTCTTGAGCACGTCAAGAATTCCCTATGAGATGTGGTCCTCCAAATATGATCCCAACAAGGTGGAGACCTTTGTGACCACAACGCTTCTTTCCCTCGTCCCTTTGATCCTTCTCCTGAAAGGGAGTTAGACCATCAACATACTCCTTGAAGTCCCCTTTTTTAATGAGGTCTTCAATTGTCTGCTTGAGAGCTTGTCATTCATTGGTATGGTGCCCATTATCCCAATGATAATGACAATATTTCTTGTTGTTCCTTGCCACAGGGGGATTATTCATGGGCTCTGGCTCTCCGAGCAGACTATCTTCTTCTAATTTGTCCAGAATAGCTGATACTAATGCATTCAATAGAGTATACTGATTCTTGTCGCGATCGCGACGAGGAACTTGAGCATAAGATTTCTTGGGCTCAAATTGTTGTTTCTTTCCTTTTCGCTGATTGTCATTGACCCATCTGCGATCAACTCTCCTACTATTCTCCCCCCAGCCTTTTTTTTCCTAGCTAGGGGCATTGGTCGAAGGATCGGGGTCGTGGCGATTTAGAGCAGCCATGGATTTCTTGATTCAAAGGTACTTCTCAGCAAGATTGTAGAAGTGGGTGAGGAAATGTCATCCTTAGATTACAGCTTTTTCCACAGGTCAGTTTGCAGACGAACACCTACAATAATGAGAGTCCGAACTGACTCCTCGAGTGTATTAGCCACCTTATACAACTTCCTATGGAACCTGTCAATATAGGACTGGAGAGACTCATTCCTCTCCTGCCGTATGTTGCTCAAATGGCTCAACGGCATTGAGAACTTCCTATTAGCCTAGAAGTGTCTCAAGAATAACGAACTCATTTGTTGCCACGAGTTGATAGATCCTAACGGGAGCGATCTAAACCAGTGCTTGGCATGGGCAGTTAGAGTCACCGCCAAATAGCGATATTTGGCCAAGCTGGAAACTTGGTAAAGCTCCATGAGGTCGTTAAACTCATAGAGGTGATTCTGCGGATTAGAATTCCTATCGAATGCTCACATATCGGTCATTCTAAATCTTGAAGGGAGAGGAGCAGCTAATACTGTTGGAGAAAAAGGAGACGCTTCAGCGGCTTGCCTGCTTATTCTACTGAGCTCTAAGTTGTTCTAGAGCTTGTTGTAGCTCCTCAATATGAGGAAGCGAAGCTACCTGGGGATCGCTTTCTGCAACGTGGGTTCAACCCTCACGATTACGGTTGAGGAAAAACCGTAGATTAGACTCTTCCTCACCTCGGCCAAGGCTTTCGACATGCCTTGACACATGCTGATTAGAGCCATGTGCAAGTACTGAATAGCCAGGGGAGCTACCGACCTCCACGGTGGTCAGAACCGACCCGTGTATGGTGGGCATTTCCCTCGCGGTGATGGTCGGGACCATCATGTTGGTGATAAAGGGTATCTCCCTACCATGCACTCTTACGGGGATGCCCATGCGATGTGCCGTGGGACGGCTCATGATGCAATATATTGCCAAGTCGTAAAGCCACAGGTATTCTACCTGTTTCACGACCATCATTTGTTGCTCCCTTGGAGCCCTTTGGCCAATTATCTGCCACATGTTTTCCCTTGTCTTTACACATTGTAGTGCATGCGACATGAGCTTTTACCCATTTTCACGCTTTAGCGAGACCTACAGGCGTCTTTGGCGGTGGCATCGCTTTATCAAAATCGGGCAATACGACTTGATCTAAACGGTCTAGCCTTCGGCTAACCGTTTAGAGAGTATTGTTGAACCTTTCCTAGTAACTTCTGACAGCTGGATCAAGCTGTGAGCTCGAGGGAAAATCTGTCGCGGTATTCTGCAGAATAGGAGGTACTTCAGAAGAATTATCATCTTGTACATGGGGGATCTCCTCGGGGTTGAGGCTAGTTTGCTCGGTTTCAAAACCACGAGCCATTCGTTAGCAAGTAGAGTTGATTGATCAGAGATTCTTGATGAAGAGTGGATACTAAATTGCGCCCTTCCTCTAGCGCCAAATTGTTGATGCTTGATTTTGACACCAACGATTCGTACGTGTAAAGTGCTAAGTTGACTTATAAATTACACGTGAATGAATAATGCAATGAAGTAAATGGAAGATGATTTTTGAAGTGGTTTGGGTGCTTAAAGCGAATCCTACGTCCACTATTCTTTTATATATATATATGAGGTTACAGGAGGTCGCGTATAGCGAATAGCGAGCAGAGGTACAAATGACTGATTATTCAAAGAGAATATCGAGTCAGTCTCTTTCTTGCAAGTTATCTATATTTTGAGAATAAAATGTTACAATCAGAATGCGGGTTTTTTTTTTTTTTTTTTTTTATCAAAATCCCGAAAATGAGAGGGAGAGCCCTCTATTTATAGTAGAAGATTTAAGGGTAATGATTACAAATCTACAAGTGGGCAGGTGTTAGAGGTGGGCAAGGGACCGGTCCCTTGCGGGCCCAGGCCTAGGCCCGTTTGGGACTGGTCCTAAATGGGATCAGTCACTCATGGGCCTAGGACCGGTCCCAGGCCCATGAGAAAAACCAGGACCCGGACCAGGCCCTAGGCCTGGTCGGGACTGGTCCCATGGGCCCAGGACCGGTCCCATGGGCTTGGATAATTTCATTTTTCCCCCTCAATTTTTTTTTATATTTTGGGGGCAAAATAAAATTTTATAGGGGGTTTTTAGTATTTTTTAGGGGTAAAATTTATAAATGTTATAAATTTTTTAGACCTGGAAGATTTCTTTTTTATAAATTTTGTAAAATTTTATTTTAGCCCTCGTAATTTATATTTATTTTAAAATTAACAGGAGGTTTTATGTAATTTGGCAGGGGACTATATTGCAAAAATACAAAAAAATTTGGGCCCAGGCCTGGGCCCGGGCCTTGGAGGAGGGCCCAGTGGATAGTTCCGGTCCTCTCAAGGACCGGTCCTAGGACCGGGTTTTGGAGCTGGGCTTTTGGGCCCGGTCCCAAATGCCCAGCTCTAGCAGGTGTAGTACAATCCCTACCGCACTCCCTATTGGCTGATTACATAGGAGATATCCTCAAATTGCGTAAGGCTTGGACATGTGGGCGACTCTCATCCACTCATAGATAAAACCTGAGTCTGCCAAGTTGTTGACAACCATACTCTTTTTGTCTTTGGACGATGTGGCAGCTCTTGGATGATACAAAGCCTTCCTGAACTTTGATTGACACTTGCTAATGTAAGCTTGCGTCAGCTCTGATTTTTTTAGGCATAACAATTATTAAGCTATGGACTCTAATGAATAACGGTGATAATGGGTACTCAATATAAATATGAGGTTTTTTTTTCTTTCTTTTTTTATATATATCTATATAAATCCTTATATTATATAATGAATTAACGGTCCAATAATCGGACAAAGCAAATCAAATAAGGCACCGTAGTAATGTAAATGGAGCAACAATAGTAAATGAAAAAAGAGAGAAGACGACAGAGATTTTGTTAAGTGAATGAAAAAATCTAGAATATAACAAGGATACCACCACATCACCCATACCACCCATCAATGTATTCACACCATCTATGAAAATTTTCTTTCTACTAAATCTTTACTGTCTATGTGGCAACAATGTATTAATCGGTGGTACGGGTGATGTGGTACCATAGATATTCTGTTAATGAATTGAGAGGATTAGGATCGTATTTCTTTTACTTATTCATTATGCAGCATACATGAATACATAATCCTTAATTCTTTATTGATATTTCCAAATAATTAATCCCCTGTATTTTCGTAACTACTCACAAAATATATATATAAACCTCTTGTTTCAATTCAAATACGGGATGAATAAGTAATTTTATAAAATTCTTATACATTTTTTTTTCTCCCTTTTATCGATTCTCTTTATAATGACCCATTTCCATCACTCAAACCAAATTATGAATAAGTGCACTTTCTTCGGAACCTGATGATATTCCAAAACCTAAAATTGGTTCTCTTAATGCAAATAACTTTTGATTACTTTAATGGACTAACCGCATTCAATTTGATAAGTACATGCAGATTGGATTGAAGCAGTTATATTACTAAAATCATTAAAAAAAAAAAAACTTTAAAAAAACTTGTCTGTCGTGAGCATGAACTTGCTCAGAACAAAGAAAATTCAATCGTTTGATTTAGTATTCCAAAAAAGAGAAACAACCCTGCAGGTATTAGACATCATTTTAATATTGTTTATAAACAAAACATCAAACTTACACTACCCACAAAATAGTAGCCATAAAACCCAGAAAAACTACTAAAAGAGAACCCCTTCCACCATAAGAAAACTCAGACGAATTGGAAATAACAGATGGAGGATTGTTGCTCTTTGAAGAAGACCGTGGAAGATTAGACTCCGGCTGCGCTTGAGGCGAAACAATTGATGAAGATGCATCGCCCACCACATTCACTTGAAGCTTCATTCCCCCCAAGCAATATAACTTGTTGCCACTAATAAAGTACCTCTCGCCTGGCTGTGTCAACGGAACCGTCGTGTTTCCATTTGAAAATGTATTCAGAGCATCGCTTGTGTTGCATGCTTTAAAGCTTTTTCGTTTCACTTCACTCACGCTGTTGGATGATGAGTATTGGAACACTACAAAAACCAAATAAACACATAAATTTTAACCCTTCTTCATTATTGCGATTAAAATCTTTATATTTTATTAGAGAAGCAGGTAGACTTACTGAGTGAATCGCCAACTTTAAATACTTTGTCCTGTGCCCATGAATCGAGGTCGGAGCTGATGTCCCAGCCTGAGCTATCTCCCACCACATAGGTCGTCGCATTGGTTGTTAATGCGATGCTAAGAGTGACAAGAAGATAAACCAGAAGAAGCTTAGCCATGTTAATGAGAGATTGATGAATGAATTATTATGATTATGAGAGGAAGAAGTTGGTCTCCTATAATATATATATGTGAGGGGTCTTATAATTTAGATGACCTAACTTAAAATCTGTAAATTACTTGTGCTTGTGATACATCCATTGTCTAATTAATTAAAGATTGAGTGGAAGACTAAGGTTAAGATACCCTATCTACCCTTAGCATTAAAGAGATGAATGATTTCGTCAAAATACTTTGGAAATTATGGCCGTAATTTTAAAAATAGTTTAATAAATGAAACATTTTTGATGAAAATTATCATTGTCATTTAGATATTTAAATGTGTGTTTAAGGTAAGTTTTTGTTGTTGGGGAACTATTGCCTTAATAAAGCGGGTTATTATTTTTCCAATTTTTTTCTTCTTCAGAGCGGTTAACTTGTAAAAGGGGTTTTCTCTTCAAACTCTAAGATAAGTTTTTCTTCGATTCTAAAAGTAAAAGATGATCATGTTTGTAATAAAATTTGGATAATTATTTTCTTTTCTTGAAGGATTTTACAGTTTGATTTCTTCTCTTTTTTGCTATCACAAGGTCAGTCGGTCAATGGGTTTTGCTCAATATATCAACTAATGGACGAGTTTTAATTTAATTGTTTTATGGAGACTATATACAGTATGTTGGTAAGCTACCAATCTCCAGCTTTTCAGGTAAAATTTGGTCGTCCAAATGTAGGGAAAAAATGAAGCTAAATATATAGCCGGCTATCAACCTATTACAGGCAATATGCTTTAAATAACTACCCCAGATTTTATACTTGTTATAACTTCTCCCCATTTACAGTCAAATATTCAAGAGCAATTTGACTGAGTGGCTTACTATATATTTTAACTCAAATTCCTTTCATCGTGTTAGCTGAAACTTTCTTTATCATTTTTTTTAGTTAATTGTTATTATCATTCGATAAACTCCAATAATTTTTTTTTTTAAATTAATATAAAAGTACATGCTCTGATTGAAGATTTAATTTTTTGTCAATGACCCCACCTTAGTTAATTATCTACATTGGATGATTCCATCTTTCTAACACAATTAAACTCAGAGGGAGGTTTCTACAGAATTAATAAAATATATGGAAAATTTTTAATCAATTTTGGAAGAAACTTACGAGTACGATATTGTTAGTATCAACCATATTTTGGCAAAAAATAAAATTGCTTTGAAATGAAAGTAATTTCGATCGTAATGTTGCTTGTAAAAGAGCACATGGTAATTGGCGACGTCAACGAGAAGGTTTGAGATTGAAAGGTGTTTAACTCCCTCACCAAAAAAACTTCACCGTCACCCACTCCACCAACTTAATTAAGATAAGTCAATCTTCAATACCATGTTCAGGATGGTGGATCGCCAACCGCAGGATTATATACATGTATATTAATATCAAATCACTTATTCTGGAATATCATTGGCCTTATATGCATCCCCTTTTTTGGTTTTTTAATAGTTTATGTGTTAATTGTCAGATTGAGACATTTTGACAAACATGGAAGATGACAAACCGAGGCTCAATCAAATAAGATATGATATGGCATTCATAAATCATAATTCATTAGTCCAGGTAGGAGCGAGAGAGTGAGAAAATATGTTATCAATCAATGTTTTAAAACCCGGCCTGACCCGTTCGATTGAACCGGGACCCGAAAGCTTCTACGGGCCAGGTTTAATTTTTTCCTATTCACCCAATACCCTAGGATTTCTGGTGATGATCGGCGAATAATTAACTGTCGGAATGTTGGGGCTTTTGAAGAACAATTTCCGGTGAATGTAATGGTGGTGAAAGAGTTGATTTCCGATGAGTAAATCGACTGGAAATCGAACAAAACTGGCAGCGGCAACGATGAGATTTTTTCGGCGATTGAGGAGGCTAACAGAGGTGGGGTGAGGTGGGTTTTGGTCGGGAGGAAAAGGGGAGTAATTCTGGGGTGATGGGGAGGGTTGTTGTTGCCGGAATCGATGGGATCTGGGCTGGAATACCGATGTCGACGTCAATGGGATCTGGCCTGGAAAACCGACGTCGACGTCGGTAAGATCTGGCCGAAATCGAACCTATTTCAGCCAGATCTTGGGTATATTTTGATGGAAATGGACTCAAGGGATGATTGGGGTTGCATCTGGGGTCTCACCGCCGCTAATCAGTCGCCGGTCAATTTGCAGTTGGAGTGTGTTCGATAAATTTCAAACTTATAGGGACTTAACGTAATCTTTAGGGGTATATTTGCTGAATTTTAAAAAAATTTGTCAACTAGTCAACCCGGGACCCGGAAGCTTTGCCGGGTTTCACCCCGGGTTGGGTTTTAAAACATTGTTATCAATAGAAACCTATACTATATGGTTTGTTTGAGCCTGTAGTTACAAATTTTTTATAAATTATTCAAGGCTGTCCATTTTGGCAGTCTTAAGAATTTTGATGAGAGGCGACCTTAAGAAAATAATATCTAGAAAGATAGGGGACTCTGATGAATTTACTATTTAGATTCATTAATTAGATTTAACGTCAAAAGTATTAAAATTAAAAAAGTTCATAGATTGATAGCAGTCCAATGAGAAAAAAATAGAGATAAACTTCCAAATACATAGATAATAAAAAAATTGAATTAATTAACACTACGTAAACTTTGAAAAAAAAAAAAAAAAAAACCCAAGATAGTGTGCAGGGGCGGCAAATTGTGGCTAAAGTTATAAGTCTATTGTTAGTTGTTACTATTTAAACATATAGTCATTCTTAAGTTCACTGGAATTTTTAAGGATCTCATGATATTTATACATTTGTGTTTATTTATGGTTCAGATTTAAATTATCTAATAAATTCTTATTTTGTAACAATCAATCGCAAGCTTTTAAAAGCTCAGATCAAGGGGCGACTCTGATCCTTAGAGGATTTTGATCCTTTTGCTTGTCTATCATTTACAAGTTTATTGTTATAATTTGAGAAAATGATGGATGCAGTGCGAGCGCATGACGTTTTACCTTTTCTTTGTTAAGTTTCATGTTCGGGGCGGGTTGAGGAATTAGTCTCCGAAATCAACCTCAGAAATTACCAAACCCTAAGAATTTAATTAATTACTTGAGAAATTAAACAAGCAGATAGTATGGTGCAATTTGCAAATGAAGATGAAGTAGCCACTCTAATCCACACCACATCCCATCTGGTATAGCCAATGCTCAAACTCCTGTTAGTGTAGCCAAATCTTCAGCCATGTGGGTGGTGCACTATTAGCTAGCCACACTGACCAATGAAGCTAGCGAACGTCTTATTTTCTCAATATTCAGGCGAAGGCGAAACGTGTCAGCAGCATATATATAAGATGCACAATCTAGCTAGCTGTCTCCTCGGATGCATAACCTACCCTCAAACATCTTATTTTGCCTCCGTAAATATGAAAAGAACCCTAGCTAGTTCACAGAAGAGTGGAATCTGTTTGGATTGTTAAACCGAACCAGTTGCATTAATCTATGTCCTCACCATAAAACAACTATGCCAATCCACCAGTCTGTAAAAATTCTATAGGCGTTTCGGCGGAGAATCATGAATGTAATCATGTAAACAAAGCTATCAGAACATAAATTATGTCCAAATTCAAGCAAATATGTAGGCCAGTCAATTTACAGTTCCTTAAGAATATTCTTCCTAATTTTTTTTTGATGAAGTGCTAATTTGTTTTCTTGTCTGACTTTTTGCCTTCAATAGAGTGATAATTTGTTTTCACTCTGAGTAGTACTACGATATCATCTCTTATATATTGTTGATGCTTGATTTTGATACCAGTTAATCGTACGTGGGAAATACAGAATTGATTCAGAAGACACATGTGTATATTGGGGTTATTGAATTGATTAAGAGAAGAAGAACAATGTTTAAAGTAGTTCAGATGTTTAAATAAACGAATCCTACGTCCACTGATATTGTATTAATATATGAGATCATGTCGCGTTCAGCGAGCTGATTTATAGCTTAGAGAATACAAGTGAATACACCCCAGAGAGAGAGAGAATGTATGCTATTTTAGAGAAAAATTAATTAATCCCACAAACGGGAGAGGAGTCCTCTATTTATAGTGGGATGAATTGAGGTAATGATTACTAAATCTGTGAGTGGGTCAGATTGTTGTGCAAATCCTTCTTTGTGTCTCGTTGCTCACATGCTCGAGTGATTTCCTCGACTTATGCAGGGATTGGACATATGGACCTTTTCCAGCCTTTCGCCAATCTGGTGCATACCTACTACACTGGCAGGAGCATGCCGCTAACGTCAGCATACGACGTGGCTGCATCTGAACGGCTGCAGAACCTACCTAAGCTCTGACTGCCCACACTGACAAGGCTTGGCGTCAACCCTACTTTTTCAGGCATAACAGAAGTCCCTTAGTTTTTAAGGTTTGAGGATCGAACCTTGAGAACTACACAATTATGCCTTGATTTGATGCTTCAAATGGACACTGGTCGATCCGACCTGGTTGCAAAGAAGCCGCGGAAACATTCCCATGCAGGCGACCTAAAATGATCTTCCTCAAGGTTCGCGACTTGTTCTAGATCTTATCCAATGCCATAACGATGATTATGGTCTTTAACCGAGGTTCTCGACCTGATTACACTTGGCAAATTTTTTGTTGAAAGCAAAGTCACGTTGCTTCGTAATTGACATGCGACGAGGGCAAAGAGTCACGTCACTTCGCGACTGACACGACAAAGAGTGTTTAATGTAACAACCTCTTCAGATGTTATCCATTGCACTTTTGCAGCTGATACATTAAATGAAGCACCTTTTGCTCTGGCAAATGTGTCCTGTGCACAATAAGTGTCAACCATGCGCATTAAATGCGAGCCATGCTGAAACGACATTCCCTATCAGACCATTAAATACAGATGTGAGCGCATTTAATATGGAGGAGGGAAACGAGCCGTCACTTGAGTGCTTCAACGGAAAGGAACGATGATTTGGTTTCTCGAAGCGTGACGATCACTCTTCTTCGCTGATTAGCGACACGTG